CTCTTCAGACGTGAACTCTTCAGACTTTAACGTGAACTCTTCAGACTTTAACGTGAACTCTTCAGACTTTAACTGAAGAATTAATCTGAAATCTAGAATCCATAACTTGGTAACAGGTGACCAACAGGTGGCCATGTTTTTTGAAACACATTTACCCAGAATTCAACATGTTTACCTCATGAGTCATAAAGAAAGAGAAGTCACATATCAGTGAAAAGGTTCATATCAATGAATTTATTACAACGGACGGATCTTAAAGGCACATTACAAGATCAAATGTTTCATCTGGAAATCATGAATAAAAACACAAAGACCACCAAATACATGTAAAAATAAAAAATTCAGGAAGGCTAGCAAAGTTATTGCAGGAAGAAATAAAAATATTTAAATTATAAATAAAAAAAATCACCAAAATAAATTACATAGAAAAAAAATCAAATAGTTAAAAACTTTATCAAAAATTTAAATAGTTTTGCAAACCGGTGTGATGAAGTGTGAGAGCTGTCTCACTCTCTGAACCTGTCTGTCTGTTTTAAACACCTCCACCACGACACATCCACATGTAGAATATTTAAATATGTTTCACCTCCATAACGAGTCCTTTAACAAGACCCTCTGTCAGTGGAGAGAACATCTCTGCGTGCTGATGACATCACCATTCTACATATTTAAATATTCATGATCAACGATAACAAGTTAGCTTTTTACTTTATTTTGAACTAATTGATGATAATTTTCAGGTCATTTCTCAGTAATTATAATTAATTAATTATGTAAATTATTAACTGAGGAAGAAATAATTGATTAACGATTTATCTGCTGATTGTTTTGTTCTGGAGCCACCGGTTGTCACTGAATCATTTAGTCTGAAAAATAAAGATAATCCTGATTTGAGCCGATAATTATTGATTTAAAAACATCCCTTTAAACTCGTCCTGTGACATCATCACTTGTTTTAGGAAACAATAAAGTATAATATGTTAAGATAAAAGTAGAATATTAAATATTCATGACCTCGTCTATTTACTGATTAGTAAAAAAAAAGTTTGAAATAATGGCGCTCCTTTTAAAACAGAAAATATAATGAAACACAAACAAAGTTCCTCCAGACTGAAGTAAAAACTGTTTGTTTGTAGTTTAACGTTTTTAATCAAAGCAGATCATTTGAAATGAAGAATGTTAGCCTCAGATTGTTTTATTTATAACTATCTTTATAATAAAGAAGATAAATATGTTAATATATTCATAAACAGGTATTGAAATATGAATCTTTTTATCTTCCATGTTTGATTTTATGATTTAAAGTGTAAAATGTTTCTGTCCATCACACAGAGATTATGACCCACAGACAGACTGATCTCCCCCCCCCCTCAGGTGTCCCGCTCCTTCTTTACCTTCACGTCCAGGATGGTGGCTATCTCCCCCTGCATGAAGGCCCAGGGCACGTTGGAGCCGATCAGAGGACACTTGTCCCCGCTGGGACAGAACACCTCCCCGGAGGATCCCTGGTTCTTGATGCTCTCTCTGGAGCACGGGAAGCAGAACTTGTGGTTCTGGACCGACGGACACTGAACGAAGTGTGTGTCCTCGAGCCGCTCGTGGCAGATGGTGCAGCACAGAGGCCCGCTGTTGGCTATCGGGGAGTCGGGCACGTTCTGCGCATGCACCTGGTCCACACCGGACATCCCGAGAGAGAGGCGCCTCTGTCCGGACACGGAGGCTGGAGACACCGGGCTGCTGTTGTTGTGTCTGGAGGACGACGTGCTGGAGTGGACCGAGTCATGGTCTTTGTTGGGGGAGTGCGCATTCCCGAGCGTGTCCATCGGGGACTGTCCGTTCTGCAAAGGAGCGATGGACTCCGGTGGGGAGGAGAGACCGGGAGGACCAGAGAATGAGCCTGCAGACATGGAGAGTTTAAGGGCTTCGGTCTGGCTGTTGATCCACTGCTGCTGCTCCTCCTCCTCTGGCTCTGGAGAGGCCCTCCTCTTCCTCACGCCGGTCCTGGAGCCGCCGCTCCCGGACGCCAGAGCCCGGCCGGGCAACACCGGGACGCTGCCGTCGGTGTGCGGCTCCGGCAACATGTCCCCCCCCCCCGCCTCCTTAAAGAACCGCAGGGCCTCTGGTAACAGGTCACCCAGCAGTCGCCAGTCCCCGGAGCCGTGCTTCTTCTCGTACTCCAGGTACTTGAACCCGGAGGACAGACCTCTGCCGTAGTCCTTCATGCAGTCCTGGTACATCTGCTTGGCAACCCCGGAAGCGCTGGAGAACACAGTCCCGGAGCCACTCGGGTACTCGATGAAGATCCTCAGCTCGTGCTCCAGACCCGGCTTGGACACCGCGTCGAAGGCGAACACACGGCCGACCAGCGTGCGGTCCTTCTTGAAGCGGACGTTGAAAGGGGTGCAACCGGATAAAGAGAGAAGTGTGTCGCGCACCGGCTTCGGCTTGCCGGTCCAGACCTCCTGCCGGTTCCGGAGGCTGTCACTCAGCTCGGACAGAGCATCCACGTTCCGCTGCTTCTCCTTCAGCTCCCGGTCCTGGTCCGAGCTGCTGGACACCGAAGCGGGCCGCTTTGCTCCGGGTTCAGAGAGACAGACCCCAGAGCTCTGCGGTGTGGCTCTATTTACGGGTCCGTTCAGCAGGTTCTGAGGCAGCAGGTCCTGAGGCTGCAGGTTCGGTGGTACGTTCACTGGGCCCCCGTGGTTCCGGCCCTGTGAGTTTGGGCTCTGCCGGTTCAGCTCGGGCGGCCCGTCGTCCGGTTTGAACCCGTTGGGTCCTCCGAGTCCGTTGGACATCCTGCTGCTGTGGCCGCTGTAGTCGAACCGAGCCCGGCTATCTGAGAGCGAGTACCGGTCCAAACCGGGCTGCTGAGACCTCGGTCCTTCCGCCTGGTGCTCGTGGTTCAGCTGCGGCTCCTTCCCGCTCAGTAAGGCCGCCTGGCTCTTCTGCTGTGGAGGAGGAGGTCCTCCGGTGGTGGACCGGACCTCCTGGAAGCCGTGAGCCCGCTTCAGGTGGCGGGCCGTCTCGATGACGAACTCGACCCGGTCTGCTCCCTCATAGTTGACGCAGCCCCGACACACGGGCTCTGTGAAGTCCCAGATCATGGCCCAGGGCATGCGGGGCAGGTCGCACAGGTAACACGACTGTCTGCGGGACGAGGACATGTTCCCTCTGTCCTGTCTCCTCCCGTCTCCTGCTGTCTCCTCCCGTCTGTCTCTTCGCCTGCCTCTCCTCCTCTCTGCCTCTCTTCCTGCCTGCCTCTCCTCCTGTCCGCCTCTCCTCCTGCCCGCCTCTCCTCCTGCCCGCCTCTCCTCCTGCCCGCCTCTCCTCCTGCCCGTCTCTCCTCCTGCCCGTCTCTCCTCCTGCCTCTCCGAGCGGCGATCAGACAGAGAAGATCCTGAGAGGAGTGCAGACAGACGGACTCTCCTCTCAGCTTATTGTTCCTCCTGCTGGAGCTCCGTGTGCTGCAGAGAGGGGGAGGGGGAGGAATCTGGATTCCTCAGCCCCTCCCCCTCCTTGGAATGCCACCTGGTAGAGTAAGTGACGTCACCCCCCCCCCCCCCCCCCCCCATCTGAGACTGTGATGTCATGACCCCACATGTTGCCCCCCCCTCTCTGTCTGAACAGCGTGTCACGTGACGCTGCAGGTAAATTAAATCTGTTCAGAACAAAAGAAGACCTCGTGACCTCATCTGATGTCAGCTGTTAGTAAATACATGTTTATATTATAGTATTATATACTCCAGTATTACACTATAGTATTACACCGTAGTATTATAGTGTAGTATTACACCGTAGTATTACACTGTAGTATTATACTGGAGTATTATATACTCCAGTATTATACTATATTATTACACTGTAGTATTCTACTCCAGTATTATACACTCCAGTATTATACTAAAGTATTACACCGTAGTATTATAGTGTAGTGTTATGCTATAGTATTATAGTGTATCATATTACATTCTGGGTTATGCTGCTGCATTATTATTATTATGATCACATTGCATCTTTTTGTGTTAAACTCCCCACCTCACAACATTAAATATACAATATATTGTATACCTCACAACATTAAATACCTCACAAAATTAAATATACAATATATATATATATATTGTATACCTCACAACATTAAATATACGATATAAATATATATTGTATACCTCACAACATTAAATATTCTATTCTTCTTCTAGTTGTATTATTATATTTATTGTATGTATATACAGTGTAGTGTGAAGGTGTTCTCCGAGTGTGTTGCTCGGCAGGTTTCTCAGAGAGCTCAGGCTCTTTGGCCAAATCCCAATGTCCCCCTTACGGACTCACGGACTTTGAGGCGCGCTCCCGTAAAGTCCGTGAGGGTTTAGGGCTGTCCCACTGTCACATCGGCGAGTGTTTGAGTCTCTAGCAGACATTTTGAGCCCTTTATGAACCCTTTCTGTAAGTCAGCATGGTATGCTGACTTAGCCTAAGGGAATTACCCATAAATCATTGGAATGTGACGTTAAACACGGGGTAACCAGTGGACGCATGGAGACGTAAAAAAAAGGTAAACAAAGAGGACGGATCAGTGTGTTCAGCCTGTCATAATAAATGTACTCAGAAACATTAAGGGTTAAAGATGGAACAACAAATAAACATGAAATCAGAAGATATTTATTTATTTATTTATCAAATATTAGATTTTGTCATTGAAGCTGTTTTGACAAAAACGAGTAAATAGATGATATGAAGTTAACTCTCATCTAGTGAGGAAAGAGCCTGAAGACGTTCACATCAGGGAGTACAAAGTATAAAATAAATACACACAGTTATGCATCATATTTATTGTCGTTTTCATGGTAACGTGATATGTTGCAGCAAAGTGCTGTCCCGTTCATATTCACACCATCTCAAGCCCTCACAGCCTCTCACACTCACCCACTCACCAGGTGACGTCAGTGAGTCCTTGAGGGTTTAGGGGGGACATTGGGATTTGGCCTTTGTTTCACTGAGAAGACTCGGAGCACTGATGCATTCTTGGACATATATACACCTAAACATGCAGTCACACTGATGGCGCCTCTGTTACTGTGGAAACAAGCTCGCTCGCTAGAGAGTGCCACAGGGTGCCAGAGAGTGCCAGATATTTTATTATTATTTTTAGCATTATTTTAGCCGATTGTTGTAAATGACTATAAAAGTAATAATTTGGAAAGAGTGTATTATGTTCCCTTTTGTTGCAAAACCAGCAAAATCATACTTAAATAAAATGAATGAGAAACAAAAAAGTACAACGTAATTACTCTAAGGATGCATACAGAGAACGGGTGGCTCCGGTGACTCAACTAAAATCATAAAACTGATTTACGGAAGCTGACCTGTTGTAACAACAATGTGTGTTCTCAGGAACACACATCGCTAATCGCTCCAACAGCTGCTTCCTCCACAGAAATGCAGACTTTTACTGCACAACAGCAGCTGTTGTGCTAGCAGCAACGCTTGAAATTAGTTATCCGTGTTGAAATGAATTACTGGTCGCCCTGGCTGTTTGTTTTCTTCCAGGTACAGGTCACGTGATAGTGAGTGTGACGAATCAGGGACGGAGACGTCATGGCTGCTAATAACCAATCCAGTAGCGAGCACGGGTGTGGGCTCATTTTTTCTAACACACATTCGTTTCCGACCGTCCACACGCAACCAAAACCCCGGAGTTTTCAAATACCTCCAACCTCTGGGGAGTTTTCAGACTCCTCCATTTAGGGTGCTCCAAAACTCCGACGTAGTGTGGCCGCTCAGTGTAAACGTAGCAAATACGGAGTAAAAACGGAGTAGTATGGACATGGCCTGAGAGAAGCTACACCGAAAAGCTGGAGAAAAAGTTTTCAGCCAACGACCCCTTGTCAGTGTGGAGAGGCCTGGAAGTACTCACCAACTACAGGAGACCACCCCCCCCCCCCCCCCCCCCCGAGGCCAATCACCAACTGGCTGACGACCTGAATGTGTTTTACTGCAGGTTTGATAAGCCTACTCTCACACCCCCCACCTGCCCCATCATCATCAAACAACCACCTACACCCTCTGCCTCCTTCTCATCTCTCGCAACCGACCCCCCCACCGGCACTGAGGATCTGTGAGGAGGATATGAGTCGACTCTTCCACAGACAGAAGATCAGGAAGGCACCAGGCCCAGACGGTGTGTCACCCTCGTGCCTGAAAGTCTGTGCTGACCAGCTGGCCCCCATCTTCACACAGATCTTCAACCGATCACTGGAGCTGTGTGAAGTACCCTCCTACTTCAAACGCTCCACGATCATCCCGGTCCCCAAGAAACCCTCCATCACAGGATTAAACAACTACAGGCCCATCGCCCTGATGTCTGTGGTCATGAAATCCTTTGAGGAACTGGTGTTGACCCACCTGAAGGACCCCCTGCAGTTTGCCTACCGAGCAAACAGGTCGGTGGATGATGCAGTCAGCACTGGACCCCCCAGGGATGTGGTCTAGCACCCGGACTATCAGCACTGGACCCCCCAGGGATGTGGTCTAGCACCCGGACTATCAGCACTGGCGCCCCCCACGGGTGTGTGCTCTCCCCACTGCTCTTCTCCCTCTACACCAACAACTGCACCTCAGAGGACCCGTCTGTTAAACTCCTGAAGTTCTCAGACGACACAACGGTCATCGGCCTCATCAGGGACGGTGATGAGTCTGCGTACAGACGGGAGGTTGAACAGCTGGTCCTCTGGTGTGGTCAGAACAACCTGGAGCTGAACAGGCTCAAAACTGTGGAGATGACAGTGGACTTCAGGAGGAGTTATAACACAGTTATAATGATTCTGATAATAGATATTCAGCCGGTGTTCACAACTTTATCTTCATGTGCGTAAGAGATGCAATTTAAATATACACCTTGAAAACTGCAAACTTATCTACGTCATGTTTTTATGTTTGTTAAATTCTCAGTAGTGATAACTAAATTATGCTTATTATACATATTACAAACAAAACACTTTAAAAACTCTAAAACAATTATTTAAATGAATCATTGCTTTTTTGGTATTTAGGTCAGACACATGTGCAACGCTGATTACCGTAATATGTGTGGTATTTGTTATAAATGTACGTTGGTACATAGAGGGTGATAAGAAGCTGTACATGGAGGGACTTAGGACCCAGGGGAATGTCTATCATTTGATAATTTGATAACTATCATTACCGGAGTACCTATCATTACCAGAGTAACTATCATTACCAGAGTAACTATCATTACCAAAGTACTAGGGGTGTAACGGTACACGTATTCGTATTGAACCGTTCGGTATGGGGCTCACGGATCGGTACGCATTACGAACCGTACAATACGTTTGAATAATATTAAATTGCTTTTGAAAAATAAAATATAGCTGAAATTGGTGGAGCCACTGCGCTCAAACATGGCAACCCACCCGACGTAACGTGCTGTCCTTCCCTGATTCGCCACGCTCCTATCATGTGACCGTTCCCGGATGTTCACAAACAACAGTCTTGATTACCGATCGACTACCAGGTTAATTCAACATGAACAACTGATTACAGGCGTTGTTGACCGTGTTGTCTTTACTAGCAGCTGTTGTTCAGTTAAAGTCTGCATTTCTGTGGAGGAAGCAGCTGTTAATGGAGCGATTAGCAAGCGGCGTGACCAGCCCTACGGAGCGGACGTCTGAAGCCACGGTTAGCAGTAAATGCTCTCCAGTAGGACAGATAGCTAAACCTTCAGCAGAGCTACGAGTGAGAACAGACAACAACAAGGAAACGAGTGAGAGATGTGTGTTGACCACATTTATGGACCCATAATCTAGTAAACCTGTGTGTGTAAGTGTTGATTTTAATGTAAATATAAGGTGAGAAATATCGAGCAAGACCCCCAGCGCTGTAACGAAGTCTGAAAAATAAAACTTCTAAAACTTTCCACGAAATGTATCTGTTTGAGTTTATAGAGGAAGATTTTAGAGAAGATCTTAAGTGTCAAACACGACCTTTCATTATTAAAGACTACTTTATTACTCTGTCGTATTATTTTAAACTAAGCAACCAATCTACTTCCTGTTTACACCGGCACCATCACGCCCAGTGTACGTGAATAGTTATGTAATATTCGTTACAAACTCTCCCCGCAGCGTTTAGGTATCTGTTCCCTCCTGATTCAAACAGGGCTAAAGGTTTATCCCTACTCTGTAGTGATAAACCAGGCTGTACGAACATGCTGAATGCTATTGAGCCCTGTGACACTACTCCTTCACCAGCCCATTTCTCCAGACCATAATTCCTGCTTTGTAAAAAAAACAAAAGCCCAAACAGAGAATCAAATCAGACACGCCCCCTTGAGAGTCTCACCAGAGGATTTGGCATTTCTGCTTTTTTGCTGGATTGAAAACGTACCGAACTGTGGCACCACTGTATTGTATTGAACCGAACCGAGAATTTTGTGAACCGTTACACCCCTACAAAGTACCTATCATTACCAGAGTAACTATCATTACCAAAGTACCTGTCATTACCAGAGTAACTATCATTACCAGAGTACCCATCATTACCAGAGTACCCATCATTACC